AACAAAAGTCATCGGGAAACTGGGGCCTGTTTCTTAAAAAAACTTAAGTAGAAAATCTTACTTAAGTCAAAAAAGACAAAGACTTTTTTGGACTTAAGTTTGAATTAAGTAAGATTTTCTACTTAAGTTTTTTTAAGAAACAGGCCCCTGTTCCACAATTTTTGTATCCAAATATATTTGTTTGACCTTTTTCATTTCCCACTTTGAATGTTTTCGAGCACCATATATATGAAGTTGTTCATTACAACGACGGCTTTCGTATGATATTAAAAAAGTTGGCCCTGAGTACAAGAGACCGAACAGACAACCATTTTATTAAAAACGCAATTTGGCGTTTACAACGCGAAAACCGCAACTGTGTTCTATTCCAAATAAATCGTAAAATCGCAGTAAATTCTCATAAATTTTTGTAATATCGGTAGGGGTGGCACTTTACCTTTACTTTACTTGTAACTAGTGTAACGAACTTAGTTACTACTGTTGTTACTAGTGACGAGTAACTCATTTCGTTACTTCGTTACTAGTAAAGAAGTAACTAACTTCGTTACTTTACCTGATAAAGTAACGCCGAGTAACTAGTAAAGTGCCACCCCTAAATATCAGAGTAGATCACTATTCGATTTTATCAAAATAGGAGTAAATCAGAGCAAAATTTTTTGAAAAGTATGGAAGGTTGCCCCCCATCCCCCCGGTCGCGCCGTCACTACCAGCAATCTCTCTCTCGGAGTAGAATTTCGTCTTTTGACTGCGATCGACAGTGATGACAAATCGGTGGTAACATATGATGTTATAAAAGCGCTCATTTCGACCGTTATAAAAAAAACACAAAGAAATTTTCTTTTTTATGTAGACAACAGCACCGACAGTACTGTCAAGAACAGTTTCCCGTTGCCTTTTGTTCTAAGATTTTTATGGCCTTCAAGAAACATCTCTGATCAAACACTTTTATATATTTCTCTACTAGACATTCTGCTCTCCTTCTGATAAAAAAAAGGATACAGTCTCTACAATATTCCATCGCCATGCTATATCAAAAACAAAATTAATGCAGACCTTTTGTCCCACTCGTTAATGGATAGTTGAATATTATAGATCGAAGTTTATGTAGACAGAATCAATGTTGAATATGTATGTGCTTTAGGTGCCAAAGAATTTTCAGCTGATGCTTTAAAAGCAGCAAGTGAATATGCCAAGCTTGGCGCTGACAGTAAGTGATTGACGTAAACATCACAGTTTACGTAAATAATAATTGATTTTTTTTCATAGAATTACAAGAGAAAATTCCTGAAGCAATAGAAGGTTTGTTTAACTGATTTGTTTTTAATTTGAGAAAAACTCATAACCGTGTTTGTTGTAGCTGGAAAAGACTTTGCTGGTAAAGCCGTTGGAGTTGGTGAAGAGTATGGGAAAATAGCACTCGAAGAAGGTGAAAAATTGGCAAGTAAAGCCTGTAAGTGTTTGTTTTGCAGTTGATTGTCATTTCCTCAATAAACTTTGTCTATTTTTCATTCATTAATCATTCTCATACAATATTTAAATTTTTAGACGAAGCAGGAAAAGAAAAACTGGATGAAGGCATTAAAATAGCGAAGAAAAAATTAGACTTATGAAAATTTATATAATTCCTGTATTTTTAATTTTTTTTTGGTGATTTTGGTCTGATTGTTTGTTGAAAGAGATATGGAAGTGCGTTGCGTTTGATTACTCCTATTTGGCACATTTTTCTTTCATTTTCCTAATATTCAATTGCAATAACATGTCATTTCTTTTTCTCTTGATATTGCGCTCTTATTTGTATCTGTTTTCTTTTGTTGTCTAGTCTCTTACTTCAGCCCAGTGTTTGAATTTGAAACACAAATAACTATATACTCACTTTTCGTACTCAGTTAGTCATTTTTTGTTCGTTTTCTCATTTTGTATTTGTTGTGTTTTTTACTTTTATTAGTTGCTGAGGATGGCTATTTTGTTCTTGTATGTTCCAATTAAAATATGAAAAAAGGTCTAACCTAGCCAGTATTTGTGCTTCCTTTGCTGTGTTGTTTTCTCATTAGTGAGCTAAATTGAAACGATAATATGTTGTTTTCTTTGTAATCACGTGAAATAAGTCGTTAAAGAATAAAACGTCCGATTAAAGTTTAGCCATTGACTGACGAGATTCGACGCTTATTAGAAAGTTTATGTATTAAAATGGTATATTTCCCAGTAGCTTATATTCAACTCTTATTACATATAAAATATTTCAAGCAGTTTCAATGTTTCTGGGGACGTTTTCTTCTACATAAATAAACTTTTTGATTGTGAATATTTTTTAGATCTTCAACGATTAATAGTTATATTTTTACTTTGACGCCGAGTCATGATTACATCAATGATTGTTTCACTTTTATTTTCTCAACTTGTTTGTCTCGTGTTATCACATACTCCAGGCACAGGTAAGATAACAGATATGTTCAATGCGAGTCATACTTAGATAAAGTGGACGAATTTCTTTTTATTTTAGTAACGGTTGATAAGTTCTCTTTTGATAAGGTGAAGACATTAAACAAGGTTTAAAAGGATCAACGATATGATACCTTTTTTCGTGTTTATTTAAGATTATAGAAAATTTTGATGTTGTCTTAGTCAAATGGGATGAAAAATATCCATATGGAGATAATCAAGATCAATTTAAAAAATTTGCTGAAAATGCTGCTAATACAAAACAATTACTATTGGTTGAAGTTCCTGTCACAGGTAAAACAAAATCTTGTATACAAAATAACAATCTGTAACATATTCGTTTTCTTGTTTTAGATTACGGAGACAAAGAAAATGAAGATTTGGCAAAGAGATTCAACGTTGAAAAGGCAGATTTTCCGGCTTATAAATTATTTTTAAAAGGAAAATCAAAACCAATTGATCATACTGGTGATAGAACTGAAGTTGGCTTAAAACAATTTCTAACACAACATACAAGTTTGCAAATGAAAAAAAATGAATAATGAATCATATTTGATCTAATTTTCTTTGTTTAGATCTTTGGTTTGGTTTACCTGGAACATTAGAACAAATGGATCTTTTAGCGCGTCAGTTCTTTGACCTTTTATCATCGACTGATGATACACATGACCAGGAAAAAAAAACACTCTTTGAAAAAGCGAAAGAACAAATGAAAGCAATGACGAATAAAAATGATCAAAGGTCTGGCGAAAGTTATGTTAAAATTATGGAAAAGATGTTAGAACAAGGACCGGAATTTCTAAAACGTGAAGCTCGTCGAGTTCAAAATTTACTTAAAGGAAAAGTATGTAGAGTATTCTTCTCGACAACAGAACTATCAACTAAAAGATTTTTCACTGACTTATGACTAAATATCTAAGAGCCATTTAGTTGAACAAATTAGAGCAGAACTGCGCTAAACTACAGTGAATAAACTTTATGATGACCTCATGCTAATGCCGAGCAAACTTGTACGATTCTATAGGATGAATGTTTCGAACAGATGTCAGGAGCAAACAGATCTTTTATGTTGAATAGAGCGTGTTAGCGCGTTTTATTCATCTTGAAAAGTCTTTTATTGCTTCTGTTCATTGATTTGATTCATTTGCCTTTACGTCGTATATGTGTGCAATGAGCTAAAATTATCTCGCCTGTCTGAAAGTTTATTCCGATTATGACAATAATGAATCTCTTGTCACTGACAGAATCATTCCGTTCGCTTTTTGGGCTTGGCTAATTTCATGTTTTAACTATTTAGATCACAACCGAGAAAAAAGAAGAATTGAATTACCGTCAAAATATTCTATTATCATTTAAATCGTTAAAAGACGCTGTTATTGATCCCATTGTAGATAAAGTATCAGATATCAAAGAGAGTGTAGTAGATACAGCAAACGATATTAAAGACAAAATCAAACCTGAGCTTTAAAAAGATGACTGGTATTATTATTTATTCTCTTGTTTCGTGAAGACTGTGTGATATTTTATATTTAGTTTAACTAAGTGTGTTTTTCTTTCTGCGATGTATCTGGCTTTGTACTAAAGCTTTTTTAAAAAGATAGAAGCAATTTTGCCGAAGGAGGAAACTCATATTTTCCTTTTAGCCCCGAACATTTTTAGTAATCTATAGACTGTGTCTTTCTGTGATATAATTGGCATAGGGGTTGCAGAATCTATGGTAAAAATGGAGGCATTTTTCACGTTTAATTACGTCTTAAAAATGCATAAAAACAAAGGGGAGGATTAAGCGGATCGGTTTTAAGGTCAAAGTATGTGCATGTGACTTGGCGTATGTGTGTGATTTGATGCAACATTATGCAACTTATTACTAGCCATCTTATAACATGCCTCGCTTCTACTCTTACATTAAATGTCTAATGAATCAATATCAGCGATGTGTCCAGCACTGACCGCGCGTATGCCACTGGCTGACATAATTGTTAGGTTTTGGAGAAACTGAAGCAATTCGCATATTTCTCACGAGCAGATGCTCATTTTTCAATAAATCTCAGTCTTTCTCAATTGCAATAATAATCGTCATATACAAAAAACCGAGGATGTTTAATCAGTTCCATCATGATCCTCTCTTTTACGTTAATGATCCAACGATTAGAAATGCCTCTTAAGCAGCTCTAAAAGTAAGCAGAAAATGAAAAACTTTTGCCACTCTGTACAGTGACAAAAGAATTGATTATGAAGTCGTATGTATGATTGAGTACGCATTTAATTTCACACTATTTTCAATTACCTTTTTGTGTAGTTTCCAGTCCTTTTCAGGAAAAGATAGAAGAAAGGTGGAGTACAACGCCAGATACTACACACTATTTGTTTCTTTTGTTAACTATGATCTTTTGCTTCGTTTGTTGTCATTCTTTTACTTAGCTAAAATCATAAAAAAAACATTTTCTTCTCTTTCGTTTATTTACATCGACTATCATTAGAATAAAACTTTACTACCAACGAAAGTTGTGTACTAAGAGCTTTAAATTTTGTGCTTTTGCATTATGTTTTCGCGTTTTCTCATGGCTAATTTTTACTCTTTTATCCATTCCAGCGACTGTGTTATTATTGTCTTTGTCGTTAAAAAATCAAATTTTGCCTGTCTTTTTTTGTTATTGTTTTCGTAATTTACAAGAATTTATGAATTATTGCTGGTAAACGTTTTTTTGTTGAGTTTTTAATAAAATTTTGGACTTTTATTCTTCAATGTGGTTATTGAAAAGATACAATGAATGTCAAATCAAAGGTTTATTTGCTGTCCAGGATGATGTTTAAAGCACGATGAATACTCATTTAGTTCAGATTTTTTAGTGATTATATCGTTTAATTTATTGTGCAGGTCACACTGTATCAAGCTTTTTTGTCACTGAAAAAGCAGTATTACACAATTTATTCAATATGAAGAATTACACCGATAACATTTAGAATAATAGAATTTTGTTTATCTATTGGTCATATCTTTTTGTACTTTTTTTAATAACGTACCTTCTAGGTAATGCAAATAATTCAAAAGTTCATGTAATTTTGACATATCGAGACAAATGCTATCTTACTGAAAATTATTGTAGAGATTGCTATAGTACAAGGCTACTTTCTTGTATTTTCTTGCTTGTTAAACTTTCTTTAGCATAGACATTAACACAAGTTTATTATTTTCATTTCTTGTCAAAATCTAAAAAAGATGATACAAAATACAATAAGATCTAGAAATGAACAGTTGCCCAACTATAATATTGTGTCGTTGTTGTACGAATTAGTACATGCCTATTTTTATTAAATTCTTGATTGAGCAATGTTAGTAATGCGCCCATGGCAATAAATCCATCTCCAGTAGAAGTTGCTAATGAAAATGTGAATGAACCATTTGTTAGAGCACCAATCATTTTTCTATCACAGTCACTAATTATTTGTTCATTGCTTTGCGGTTTATTTCGAAGATAATTTACCATTGCTTCTCCTTTACGAAACGATTTTTTTGCTTTTTTTTGTTTTAATTCATCAATATATGCCTGATTTCGATGTTTCGATTCAACAGGTGTTTTTTGTTGAGTAAAATCTTCTAAATTTGGAAGATAGATCAATGTGAAATTATCCATCGTACCTTTATCATTCATTTTTAAACGAATAGAAACTAATGAGTGTAAATGGGATAATAATTGATCGATCAATGGTTGTTGCAATGATTTATTTTGTTTACGAGAACATTGAGAACGAATCGATTGTAATAGATGTCTGTCTCGTAAAACATAAAAATGATCAATTGGATGTTCTTTGTCTATTGAAAACTGACTAGCCCATTCATGTACGATATTCGACCACAATGGTCGAAATGGACTTCGAATACCAATAATCAAATAATTTGGACGTTTTGATGGTGGACGTTTAGAATATGCTTCTAGTTTTTCATCTTCAATCATTGCTGCCCACAGACGACCGGCGTCGGTGTCAGGATAATCTTGAGGAAATTGACATTTTCCTAGAACACACAACATGATGACAGATATTCTTGAACTTAACTCTTAACATACCTGTTTCATGATAAACAAGATTCAATTCTTTTTGACCAATCGGTCTTGCACCACTGTATATAAATGGTATCCAAAATTCTTGTGCCCAGTCGATTGGTAAAATAATATCCCATCCGCTACCAAAGTCATTGGGAGTAGACAGAGATTGGCTTGGGGTAGACATCAAATCATGATGATGAATTAGTATAACTGGAATTTGGGATTCTTTATCGCCCAATTTCAAATCTTCTCCTACAATAAGACATCTTCTTTCATAGCTAGTTGACATGAAATCGATATGGTATCACAGTGTAGATAGCTCAAAAACGAATCTATTGCATCTCACATCTATTGAAAATGTTGATAACTGTACGTACCTATAGAAGATGATTTAGAACGAAGTAAATTGATTTGATACGTTGCCAATTTATATTCAGAGCAAGAATATCGATGTTTCTCATTCCATAAAGGTGAATAAGCTAAATTTTCATTATTATTTATAGTCGATTCTTTTCTCTCGGTTTCAGTATCTGAAAGATAATGAGACAATTAATAAAACCACATCATTCTATACATACATCGAACTTGATTCTTACCATTATTGTCTGATACACTATTGAATGATAATGGATCTGGTTTTTTTGGCAAGAATATTCTTGGATCTCGAACAACCAATGAAATTATTTTATTTGGTATTACCAAATTTTTGATTTGACTGTTCCAAAATTCTTGTTGTTTTTCATATATTGTTTTATTATCTTGTTCATTTAAATAATCAAACCACCAATGAATTGGTGCCGTTTTTTTTATGTATTTTATCTGATTATCATGAGTTGGTATTTGGCTTACATGCAAAACATGCTTCAATGATAATAAAGACCGTGGTCCAGTTAAACGAAATCGGGCTAAATGTTCTCGCAATAAACATATTTTAACGTTATCATTTTTATATGTAATGGGCTTTGAGGAAACAATCGGTTTTAATTTATGCTTTAATTCAACTGATTCTATTGAACTAATTGGAGATGTTATCTTTTCATCATTTTTTCGTTTTTTTACGGGTGGTTCATTATCAGTAGTTGTTTCAAATTCTACTTGTTGTTGTTCTAAGTCAAATAATGATTGAAGTTCTGTGATTAGACAGTCGTGAGACGATGGATGACACCATAACCAAATTTTACGATTTGTTGAAGGTAAGTGTTGATCGACTACGGGCATCCATAGAAACGATATTGGACCGATACAATTATACGGATAAGACTTTTGTTTATAAACTAAGCATTGTCCCTCGTATTGACCAGAACGATACATTTTCGCTGCTGGTGACAAACCAGTTGTTGATGAATGACATAATAATGATAATTTATCAACCAAATATTGTTCATTTCCTTCTAGCTGAATACAACCATAGTATGACATATCCTTTGAAAGAGAAATAAATAAAAATAGATTTGATTAACTATTAGAAAAGTTACACTAAAAAAAACGTTTACCACTAATTTACATGAATAAGACAACGATCTTTTAGTGACTGATACGTTGGACGGGCACATTTTGTATTTGAATATAATGATAAACGATAGGACCATAACGTTTTCATATGAAAACGTTTCGCATGCCATATATGAGTTTTTAACCATTTTATTTTTCGTTGACGATTCATATACGTTGATAAAAGATTTTTTGGCCGCCGACGATAACGACGTGATGGTCGTTTTGTTTTTGCAGAACCCTGAAAAAAAGTATAGAAAATAACAGCGAACCATAATAATTCGCTTAGATCTAAGTATTCTACTGAATTAAATGCTCTTAGCCTAACAAAGAAAAGTGTATTTTTCAACTACAATAAGTTTTCACTACGATCAACGGTTAGATGAGAAATTTGCTTGAATAATTCTGATCACAGAGAACGTTTATAGAAATGTATAAGCTATTTCTTACAGTTTTTGGATCTGCTATTTGTCTGATTTTCCTTGGTAAACGTTTTATGTTATAACTTGCTGCTCGCCGACGCATATAACGTGGTAATATTTGTAATGCTGTACGTTTTTTATCTTGTCGACTGCCGAGTTCATTGAGTAATGTTTGTAATTCTTGTGAACGATGATATGCTAAATCGGCTACATGAAGAACTAAATGAAAATGAAAGTCGGTTTAAAATAATGGTCCTGCAGTATTAACTATAAACTTACGTTCAGGTGTTGAAAATAAATCATTATTACTGCTTGTGTCATCCATTTATGTTTTTATTATGACAAAACAAAATCTAGAAGAAATTTATACTGCACTAATTATGATTTAATTACATAAGAATGATATGAACAGAAGATTTTGTTTTCACAAACATAAAACATTTCACAATTCAATTACATAATCTGAATGACCATTTCGCAACACAAATTTTTTTTGTCAGCATCTTCGG